AAAATACTGATAGACGGTCATACTGCAACCTCCACCTAGGATCCTGCCCCGTCCTCGTGTCACATGGCGGGAGAATCTGTGCCTCTAAAGTCAACCAACAAAACTGAACATCAATCTCTTGTGGGGGAAGTCCCATCTATAAAAAGGAACCAAAAGCTCAGATTTCAAACTTCTGAAACAATGATTCCAATGTTGGCATTACGAAGAAAAATAACACACTGACAGGCAGAATGGTTATATAACCAGATGTTAATGTCAGTCAGGCCTAGAGTCAAATGCTAGCTTTGCCAGTTGTTAGCTGTACTGGTAAGTAGGCAAGTCACTTACTCTCAAAGACCCTTAGGGAACCTTTTTATAAAATAAGAACAATTGCCCCTTCTTGATAAAAGTGTTAGAATTAAATGATAAAGAACATAGGACACTCAGCACTGTGGATGATGCACAGAGAGCATTCAAATGTTACTCAAATATTAGCTATCCTTATTATTGAACTAGAAACTAATGCAGAGTTTTAATTAAAATAAAAGCCTTACCAAAAAAAAAAGTATATTTCAAGGCTCCAAAAGACTTTCCATATATAGAACTCTTTATGAAAACTAAGATGTACTTCTAAGCTCATAAAAGACATTCAACATCTGGCTCTTCATACACACTGAGGGGGGCAATATTAACTGTAAATGGCAGCTCAAGTATTAGTTACAATGTATGAATTACTTTCATTCAAAAAAACTAAACAATTCCATTTTACTCAAGAGAATGATGACTTTTGAGAGAGTTCATTGAATCTAGTCATACGTGTTCTAAAAGTAATTCTAAGAGGCAGACATACCTTGCATAGCCTAGGTTTGCTGGGGCAAATTTGATAGTTGTTTCAAAGAAATCATACTCCAAGTAAATGTTGGGGTCAATATCTAAATCAAACTCCAAATTACAGCCTCCAGGAATAGGATCTGGATGAAAAATAAGGAAGTCACTCAACACAGAATTTTTTATATATTCAAATAACACTCAGAAAACAGAACTCTACTCTTTCAACTACTTTCCATATATAAGTTAAATACAGAGCTTCTAGTTTTGTACCACCTCATGACTGAGGTTAAGAGGGTAAAATTAACTGAGGTTAAGGGCCCTAGAACAAGGGTCAGCAAATCTCTTCTGTAAAGGATCAGATAGTGCTGATTTTAGGCTTCAAGGGCCGAATGGTCTCTGTGACAATTACTCAACCCTGCCCTCATGGCACGAGAGCAGTCACAGACAACACATAAGTGAGTAAACATGGCTGCATTCCAATAAGACTTTATGTACAAAACGAGCAGCGAACTAGATTTGGCTCAGTCTGTAGTTTGTCAAACTCTGCTCTAGAGTTGAAATGGTCAGAAGAGACAAGAGATTCTTAAGCTGGGATCCAAGAATGGGTTTTAGGGGCTCCATGAACACCCTGAAATTGTATGTTGAAAGTGTCCATTTCCTAGGGAAAGAGGTCTTTATTAGATTTTGGGGACTATGAACCTACAAAAAGAACATAAGAACCCAGGGATGGAGGGGAAAAAACACTGCCAAAGAGGAAAGGAACTCCATGAGTAATAGGGAGAAAGACAGTGTCATATCAATTCTGCAAGAGTCTTTGTGTATACATAAAAAAAGAGTAAAAGACCTCAAAGACCCCCAAGACCATGTATCAGAATGGTATTTGAATATTTAATTAAACACACATTTATGGCATTCCATTTTATTAATAACTAGAGGCCCAGTGCACGAAATTCCAGCACTCTGGGGGGTCCCTCAACCTGGCCTGTGCCCGCTCCCTGTGGGGAGAGGGCCTAAGGTGGCAGTTGGACATCCTTAGTGCTGCCACGGACCTCTCCAACCCACTCCCCACACTGCTTCTAGAGTTAACTTTCTAAGAGATGAAGTGCATCACATCATTCCTCTGCTTAAACACTCTCTATGCTTCCCCAGAACCGATCTCAGAATAGAATGCAAACCTCAAATTATATATAAGGCCCTCACACTCTGCCTCCAGCCACACCCACTATATGCCATTCTCCAAACACTCCATTTTCCTTCAGTGCCCTCCTCTGCCTAGAATAACCAACCGAAGTGTTAAGGACTGTGTCTTGCCCTTTTGTTACTGCTTTTCCAAGGACTCCTTAAATGTTTTTCCAATGAATAAATGTATTCTCCTAGTTCCTTCCAGGACTTTCAACATCATGACAATTCTCTGGCTCCCTTGCTATTAAAACCTTTCTGGTTAAATATATTGTACTTACAATAAACACTTTTAATAAGATTACAGTTTTCCCTAAATATTCAGGAATAAGTCCCATAACAGTAGTAGAAGTCGAAGACAGAAAGGTTACCACCTCTTTCTGAGTAGGAGAGTGGAATGGCCATATTTTGGACAGGCTCAGCATCTGAAGTCTCCAAATACCAAAAGCACATACTCTGCTCTGGTCTAAGAATGAAAACCAGTCCTTTGTCAGTGCCTGTTCCCGAGGTGCTGGGAAGGAGAGTCTGCAATAAGGAAGAAAAGAGTCATTGTGAATAGGGAGTTGAGCAAAATATTAAAATTCCAGAGTTTGCCAAAACGGTTTGGCTCAGTGGATAGAGCGTCGGCCTGCGGACTGAAAGGTCCCAGGTTCGATTCCGGTCAAGGGCATGTACCTGGGTTGCAGGCACGTCCCCAGTAGGGGGTGTGCAGGAGGCAGCTGATCGATGTTTCTCTCTCATCGATGTTTCTAACTCTCTATCTCTCTCCCTTCCTCTCTGTGGAAAATGAATAAAATATATTTTAAAAAAATAAATAAATAAAATAAAATAAAATTCCAGAGTTGATCTACTATGCATGTCCTATTCCAAATCTTCCCCAAACAGAACGGAATCAAAACAGACCTTCCTTAGAAAATTAAAGGGCTCTTTTCACCTCTATGTGCATTTGCCCACACATACACATGGCAGAACTATTTAAAATACATGATCTTTGATCAGATGCAATAAAATTCCCAAGCGTTTCTATCCCCCAAATTAAGATGTACTAGGTCAGGTACTAACACTACTGTTGAATGATGAAACTAAAATAATTTCATCACAAGTTTGATATCCTTTATTCAGGGGAAAACAACCCACGGGCTAAGGGAGTGCATGCCTGACATGCTGTGGAATATTGTTTCTGAGGGATTTGGGGCGAGAGCGAGCTCTATAGAGCGTTAGAAACAGCAATGCAGAAACAGGGCAGGATGGGCTAGGAGGTCGGGAAGTTCTTAAGATACCAGCAAGTCCTATTTGCAGGGTAATGTAAGCTAGCTGAAACCGAGTGGGAGGACTGTGATTGGCATATGTTAGGTTTCCTTGACAGGTTTTTCCATAACTGCAGACTGACTGGCAGGTTGATTTTTCCATAAGTGATAGGTGGGCTTCAATTTGACAATCATAAGGGAGAATGACCCAAATACTAATTGACAAACTACAGAATCGACAGTTTCAAAGAACCAGCTGCCATGATGAGCCTAAAAATCTTGAGTGCTATACTTCGTCAGGAAGGGCAGAGGACACAGAAACAATTCTCTCCCCACAGACCTCTCACTTCCAGAGCTACATGCAGTCTGGTCATCCTCTCAGTAGTACAGACACGGTGAGAACTAAAGGCAGCACCATGAAGGAACATTGTTATAATTAAAGATAACGAAGATCCTTCCTGCAGGGAACTGAGTTGGAGGACTGTGACTGGCATATGTTGTTCATTCGGGCTACATCCCTTTATCCGAGCTCTGTTTCCTCAGAGGTAAAAACAGGCACTGTAACTACTTTGTTGAGCTGTTGTGAGAATTAAATTAATTATATGGAAAACCAGGCACAGGGGTTCCTAACTGGGAGCCCCAGAGGCCCAGAAAGTTTCCTGAAGTCCCCATGAAATCACGCATATGTATCTATACGTTCTGCCGGGTAGAGAGTCCATCAATTTCAGCAGATTCAAAGTCTATGGCCCCAGGAGCTAAGACTACCAGCCTAGCACACAGTAGGCATGCAATGAATATAAATGCCTTTTTCTTCTCTGCCCTTTCTCTTCCTTCAAATGTTGTCTGTGTAGTAAGTGCCATTTTACTATGTCTCCTATGTAAGGGCCTGAATAGGGAGATTCCTTCTGAATACAGTGCCAGAAAAAAACTTGGCTTCTTCTGAGTAATTGGCATGCTCTTCCTCCTAAGAAAGTTAGGAAATTTAACATGATTTGATTTTTGCTCTGGCTGCCATGAACTAAAGCAAAGTCAGCATAAATGGGTCACAGGCACTGTCATCTCTTGCAATTAACAATGTATTCCTTCTTGTTTTCCATGATCAAACTCTTCCATTTCTAGTCGACTAAACTACCACACACAGGCATGTAACTTCAAAACCTTCATGACAGAAGCAGGATGTCAGGATAGAAATATACAAAAGACTTCGTTTGAGCGATTATATGACCAATGCCTATAAAATATATATGAACTGGACTAAAAGAGCTTTAACAAAATCTAGGGTATTAGAATATAGGCTGAGGACAAACAGAAAACACAAGATACATAGTGGAATTTATTTGTCTAAAGAGTCATATAGGCTAAATAGAAATAGATTTGTAAAAGGTTAACATAATGGCAGGTCCTTAATAGCTTAGGCTAAGCCAGGGCATTTGAAAAACTTCCCAAAGCTGAGGCTGAGGTTAAAGGGTTTAGTGATGATTTCTGCAAGAGTTCTGAATGCTGCTAGAAGATTAACTCAGTGTTAGGATATTTTTGTTTCCAAGAGGCGTCAAAGAATAAAGCTGATCCTACAGGGTCTTATTAAACATATATATCTTAGTCATATTCAACACCACATTAAATGGCTAAACAGAAATGGAAACCCATTAAAATGTATTCACAGGTAAAAATCATCAAGGACCCAGGAGAGTAAGGGGGAGAGGGGGGGAAGTGGGAAATCATGAGGAAAGCTTTAACTACATTCAGACAGGAAACACTGGCATAGCTCACCCTTCCCCCGAACTCAGCACTCTATCACCTCCTCATTAAGTCAGAGGTCACCACATTCAAGGAAGGCCTGAGACATTCACCTCTTAGCTGGTCTAAACCACTAATTTGACAGAAACCAACTTTGATTTTTTTTTAAAAAAGTTTAAGACGTAAAGTTAAACATAAAGAGGCATCCAATAATTCTGGTGCTTTTGCTAAATATAAGGACACAAACTGCAGAAACAGTTTTTACAGAAATAATCCTTTGTACTTACCTTAGAAAAAGAAATGGTTGTATTCTGATACAGTGAGTGTATTTGGAAAATAAGAAAAGTCACATTGCTGGAAATATTACGCAAAATAGCTTCCTCTGGAAGGGGTCTGTTGAGCTTGAAGTATCTAAATTTCCCCACAGAAAATTCAATAAGACCTACAACAAGAGAAACGTTTCATTATAATATATGAACCTCTAATATCAGTTTGTAGAAATCACATATATAAACACAGACACTAATTTAATCCTCAGAAAGAAAAACTGGTTAATAAATTTTATTACTGCCCCTATTTCACTGATGAGAATTAAGCTTAAAGAGGTGAAGCAGCTCACCAGGGTGACTTGGCTAGTGAGTGGCAGAACTAAGAACTAAAGTGGGAAAAAGGTATTTCAAAAGATGAGAAAAATTCTTAAAGTGGCTGAGGATGCTTAAGGTGCCTGGCTCCCAGAGCCCAGAAAAAAACCCCATCTGGTAGCAACCACAACAATTCTATTCTGAACAGAGCCCCTGAATTTAAGAATTAACAACCCTAAGGAGCTACTGACAACTGTGAATGCACTGGTATTAAAGAACAGTAGGAACTAAGAATTCTGAAGTCACCCTGGAGACACGGAGGTGGCTACAATTTTATCCCACCATATACGAGCTGTGTGATCTTAGGCAAGTTTCTCAATTCTCTTTTTTTTTAAATATATTTTATTGAATTTTTACAGAGAGGAAGGGAGAAGGATAGAGAGTTAGAAACATCGATTCAGCTGCCTCCTGCACACTCCCTACTGGGTATGTGCCAACAACCAAGGTACATGCCCTTGACCGGAATCGAACCTGGGACCCTTGAGTCCGCAGGCCAACGCTCTATCCACTGAGCCAAACCAGTTAGGGCTCTCAGTTCTCTTAAACCTCAATTTCTTCATCTGTCAAATAGGACTGTATTACCTAGCTTGCAAAAGAAGGTGCCATCAGCACGGGCAAAAATGTCATTTGAACGCCCACCTCAGATACTTACTTTATGAACCACGGGTATTCTGGAAAAATGAGCTTTTTGTTTAAGGACCAAGTTCAGAGTCTACATAAAAGACAGGTTGTAACAACAGTTTTCCAACACCTCATCTAGGCCTTTCCCATCCATTTCTGGTTGTGTTTATTAACTCACTCACTCTACCCATGGTTCTCTGTGTATCTTTCTCCTAGCTGCATACCAGTTCTTTCTTTGTCCAAGCTAATTCTCAAATAACCCACTAAATAGGTAAAACAGGGTAAAGATAAATCACAAATAAGAAATACTTGGAGAACGGAAGCGTTCATTGCTTTAAAAGAGAGTAAGGAAAGATAGGACCAAAGAAATTAAAATACATTATTAAACAACTAGTAACCTGAAAAAATAAGTAGGGGTATTAAACATAGGTATCCCTGGGAATATATTTTAAGTGATTTCTCTTTACACATTTCATTGTTTATAAAATTTCTACAGTGATGGTGAGGTATTCTTTTCAGAAAGAAACTTTAATGGCACTCAAAACACAGCTTCTACCTCAACTCTTCATCTGAAATTTATAAAACAAGAGCACCATAAGGATTCCCGGTCAGGGCACATGCTCAGGTTGCAGGCTCCATCCCCAGTAGAGGCCACGCAGGAGGCAGCCAAAGGACATTTCTCTCTCATTGATGATGCTTCTATCTCTCTATCCCTCTCCCTTCCTCTCTCCCTAAAATCAATAAAAACATACTTTAAAAAAAAAGATTGTTGTATAGTTTTCTCTGTAATGGTCTTCACATATCCCATTATAATTATCCCTAAATATTTCATGTTTCTTGATACTATTGTTAATTTACTTTTTCTTTTAAATTTCAATTTCTAGTTGACTCTTCACCAATATGCCTTTTTAAATAAAGTTTTCCAGCTGATTTCTAATGGTCAGCCAGGTTTGAGAACTCCTAACTCAATGTTGGATGAGTTAGGGCAGGATAAGTATATTTTCCCTATTCTTAGTTATCGTTGACCTAACTTCTGTGTGAAAATCCTTTGGCAGTGTTACCCCTGCAGTCTGATAGCCATTTCACCATTTTTACAGAAGATTGCGTATTAACAAAATCAGTTATGGTATGACTCCTGGCTATACAGGGCTTTGTCATGTTTGACATTCCAACGCCTAGTACAGTAGTGGTCACCTAGTTGGCACATAGTAACTGTTTAGTAAATGACAATTCAAGTTTGTCACCTCAGGGAAGTAATTTCTTTTTTCAGGGCCTCAGTTCCCTCATGGTAAAATGGAGGTAACTGTGCTACATAAATCACTTGGCTGCTGAAATTCTCAAATAAATGGGGAAATTTTTGTAAACAGTCCAATACTATACAATAAAGTATTATGATTAACTTCCATGAGCTTTCCAGTGTTTCAGAGGCCCATCTTATTTAATTTTTTAAGTCAGGCATTCAGAAAGGTCCTACAAATGAAGGCGTGGGAAGAAGAGGACTAACAGGTATACTAATAAATGCTTGGCACACCCATCAAAAACATCAAGGGGAGAAGGAGACTTCCTTAAAGTGACAAGGAAAAACCCTGAAAACCAAGACAACTTGAACAGTACAGTCTAGCAGAATCTGCATTTAACTTCTACACATAAAAGCACACATGGCAAATAAAGGCATATAACCAAAATATATCCCGAAGAAGTTAACAGGAACTTAATTCACCTCTAAGCCATCTGGGAAGGGATTCGTGAGAAACATTTTATGAGGCATAATTAGGTCTTATGACTTTGGGTGTGGGAGGGAAACAGTACATCAAGTGATATAACAGAGCACATGGCCAACATGGAGACAGAGCCTTATGCTGTCTGTAGCTCGCCTCTAAAAAGAAGTGCCTGTTTTTTCTGCCAAAAATATTTTTTTTCCATCTGACCCATATAACAGGGGACTCTTTTCTATTTTTCCTACTCCTCATTCCTACGCAGTCACTTTTTCTTTCCAAGAATTCTATTCCACCAAGAGCTACCCAATTCCTTTTCTTTCCCAATCAAATCCTAAACTTGCAAACTTAAAATTGTTCAACTCTTCCTTTTTACTATTTTACTAAAATTGACCTGTGTTTTACTAAAATGAAAGCATTGTTTGTGCTTTCATACAACAACCAAATTCTAGGAGAGATTTGTGAAAGCTGTCTTCATAATTCTCTTCAGATTAAATATTAAAAACAAAAGCAGTTAATTTAGCTACTTGAACTGGTCAACATGCAACAGCCCCTCCCAATTTCTCATTTATTTATTTATTATTTTTTAAAATATATTTATTGATTTTAGAGAGGAAGTGAGAGGGACAGAGAGAAACATCAATGATGAGAAAGAATCATTGATGGGCTGCCTCCTGCATGCCCTACACTGGGGATCAAGCCCACAACCCGGGCACGTACCCTGACCGGGAATCAAACCATGACCTCCTGGTTCATAGGTCAAAGCTCAACCACTGAGCCATGTCGGCGGAGCCCAATTTCTCATTTATGTCTTATGTGTTTTCATTAGCACTAAAAGCTGAAAGGAAACACAAAATGTGCATATTACTCTTCACATACTTTTTTTAAAAAAAATATATGTTTTTATTGATTTTTTTAGAAAGAGAGGAAGGGAGAGGGAGGAACATTGATTGGTTGCCTGCTGCATGCCTCCTACTGGGGATCAAGCCTGCAACCCTGTGACCTCTTGATGCATGGGATGTGCTTAACCAACTGAGCCACACCAGCCAGGGCATCTTTCACACCCTTTCAAGAGAAAGAGACCACTTGCAACTAACTTCAAAAATGGCCTGCTACCTTACTTATGGCATTATCATTAGCACAAATATTAGGAAGTTCAAACGACATTGTGCTCACCTCCAATTACTATGTAATTCTATGTAAGTTAATGGATGTGAAACAAACAATAACAAAAGACATTAAAGGCAGCAGAGAACTGGAACTTCGAGACAAGGGAACACTGTTTAAACGTGTGGTGCACCTCTTGTGCCCTGCTGGCCACAGAAAGCACCTTCCTCATTCTAGAAACTTGATCTGCCACCTTCAAAGATTTATTTGGCTTTTGAGCCACTACCCCTGTGGTGCAAGTTAGCTTTTCCTGGGAAAGATGGGTAAATCCTCCTAAATTACAGCAGTTGCTTAATTCCTTCAGTTTGTCTAGTTATCAGAGTCCTCAAATCGAAACAAATGAGGAGACTGCAAGTCTTGAACTAAGTCTTTGCTAATTTTTTAAAAAAATATTTTATTGCATTTTTACAGAGAGGAAGGGAGAGGGATAGAGTTAGAAACATCGATCAGCTGCCTCCTGCACGCCCCCTACTGGGGATGTTCCCGCAGCCAAGGTACATGCCCTTGACGGGAAACGAACCTGGGACCCTTGAGTCTGAAAGCCGACACTCTGCCAAACCGGTTAGGGCAGTCTTTGTTCATTTCTATCTGCCTGATGTGGAGAACATCAGCTTGTTTTAGTTTTATTAATGTTTACCCATAGATGTTTTCCCATTGAATTTTAGAGAGCGTGGAAGGGAGGGGGGGGAGACAGAGAGAGAAACATCAATGTAAGAGAGACACATAGATTGACTGCCTCCCACAGGTGCCCCCAACCAGAGCCAGGGATTGAGCCTGCAACCTTAGTACATGCCCTTGGCCAGAATCCAACCCGGGACCCTTCAGTCCATGGGCAGAGGCTCTATTCATGAACCAAACCGACTTGGGCACATCAGCTTTAATTATCACTCAGCAGTTAAGTTCCCACATGTTGTCCTGTCATGTGGGAAAATATCCTCGGGTGAGGATTAAAAACAAAAAAATAACACACTGCCATGAAAAAGCACCTGGCACATTCTGCATTGCAGTGAATGTAGTGCCCCATAAAAAAAAAAAAAAAAGGCTTATTTTTTCTTTTCCTGCAAAAATAGAACTTGCCCTTTTCAGCTCTGGCCTTAAGTCCTATGCAAAGATTCTAGAACTCAGTTTGCACAAGAGCTTTTCAAAGATAAGTATTTAGGAGCACAATCACATTATTCAGAAAATATAATGTTTCAGAACTGTAAGTAGTCTCTTAATGCTCCAAGCAAAACTAAGAATGCGCCTAACCTCACGGGAAAAGCACGTGATTATCAGCCTGGCACAGTTAGTGCTATTCACAGCGTGTATGTTAACAAACCACGAATTACTTATAAAACCCATTCAGCCAAGCACATGACCTACGATCTAAAGCCCGATCGGAGTCCGCTTTTCCTGTCAACTCCGTCGAGCTCACCAATTGGCAAAGCATCTCCACTGGGAAGTAAAAACCCTGCGCGGTCCGCGGGGCCGTTGCTCGCAGCGCCCTCGGTTCTGCACGCCTGACGGTCCCCGCGGCTCAGCCACGCCACTCGGGAGCCAAGAGGTGCTTTCAAGTGTCAAATGAAACCCACAAACATGGCTGCTCCCCTCCCGAGGGGGACAGGAATGTGTGTGAACAAGAGAGTTACGCATCTCTTCCCACTTCCACAGCCGGAGTGAGGACGCCTCCTTCGCAAAGGGAATGTCCTTCTGCACGAAGGACCCTGACCCCTTCCTGCCGGTTCCGAACGCGCCGCCTCGGCCGCGGGGCGCACAGACCCTGGGGTGGACCTCGACCTTGCAAGAAATGCAAAGGCCCCTTGTGGTGCAGAAGGGAGGCGCCCCGACCTTACCCACGCTGGCGTTCCCGACGGTCTCGGCGCCACCGGCCACCCCGGGCTGCGATGCCAGCGCCGCCAGCGCCATCAGCCGAAGGAGCCCCCGAGCCGCCCGGGCCCGGCGCCGCCAGAGCCGATGTCGACGTCGGAGAGCGGCGCGCTCGGGGCCCCGGGGCCTCGCCCTCGCCACCCGGGGCCGCTCGCGCTCGGCGCCATCGCCCGCCAGGTGCTCGCGCTGCACACCAGCCAGGGCCGCGGGGCTGGCCAGCAACCACGGCCGCACTCGCCCGCCGCAGCCAGAGGTTCCCTCTGAAGGCGATCGCCCCCGCTGCCGCCGGGCACCCCGTCTCCGTCCCGCCCCTTGACGTCACTGCTCCGTAGCCCCGGGCGGGGGCGACGGAGGGAGGTTTCCAGGGGGGAGTGCGCCGCCCAGTGGCGCGAGGCGGCCTCGCAGCCGGCGGCGTTCCCAGGATCTCCGCCCGGGGCCAGGGGAGACCCCAGGAAGTTATGTGATGTAACCTGCACTTCTCCCTTTTTTATCTCTCCCATTTACGAAAACCACCGTTACAGTAAAAATAACTGTGCTGCGGCCTAACGTTTCGAGGCTCCTGTCCCCGACCTTAACGGTCTTTTGCAAAAAGAAAATAAAAAGGAGGAATCGGGTGCTCAAAACGCAAAAATAATTCCCTCTTCCCCAGTCCCTCCCCGCTTGCAATCGCCTTAGCGGCGCAGACGGATGTCAGTATAAAAATGAGGGGGCCATGCTGTTTCTGTAGCGGTTACTGCGCTGGTAATGAGCACCGTATTTTAAAATAAAGTTCCGTTTTCTCTAAGCAAAATGTCCTGGAAGACTCAAGACCTTCATCTGAACTTCCTCTCGCAGATCTCATACCTGAGTGGTGCTGTTTTTAAAGGGCAGGAGTCCATGTGACAGGTGGCTCGCGTGTGGAACTGGATTTACAGACAAAGTTATTTGGGGAAGATTGCCCTGCTTTCCTTTTCCTGCCGCTAAAAATTTTCATTTATATATTTTAATGAGCAACTATCTTGAAAATTACGTATGTATGTACTTAATCCACCACTAAGCTAAAACTCCATAGCAAACACCGTATGTTCTCTATCTGCCTGATCTAAATTTTCACACCTTGGTAGCACTGTCTATTCCCTAGGATATTTGTTCACTCTCCCACATGCCCCCCCCCCCCCCCATTCCTGTAACTGTCAGGAGATGGAATCCCAGGAAGATGACAGGAGCTATGATGATAAGGGTAGCATTTTGAACCAGCGATGGATTACACAATAAATTGGTGTTCTGATAGTGGGGAAAGAGGCTTAAAACTCCCACACTGTTAAAATTCAATCCCAAAGTAATATGTACATCATAACAGCTACAAGAAATACGTTTGTTTGTTTGTTTGTTTGTTTGTTTTAAGAAAACTGATCTCAGAATGGTTTCTCTCTTTTTTTAATTTTAAGAATTTATTTAAGCAAAATCATTTGGAATCTGGGAGGGTTCAGGGGAGGAACTTTGTAAAAAAAGAAAGCGAAGAAGGAAACCATAAGGGAAAGATTGGTAGGTCTGGCTATTTAAAAATTTAAATTTCATGAAAGTTAAAAAAAACACCCTAAACAATATGTAAAGTCAAGCTGACAAAAAAAGATAAAAATTAGCAAAGGACATGAATAGCAAATTTCACACACAAACAAAGAAAGAAATATAAGTGGCTAATAAAAACATGAAAGAAGTTCAAACTCACTAGTAAAAAAAATCAAATTAAGGAAATAAGCTGTAAATATTTTAAAAGAATGAGAACATTCAGTATGGATGAAAGAGCTGAGAAGCAGACATTCTACCATAGGACTAGAAGGAGTGTAACTTGAAACAACTTTTTATAGCATAATCTGCATCCAAAATCTTTAAAATATTCATAGCTTTGATATAATTCCACTTTTAGATTTAAGCCTATAAATATGTACCAAAAATTAGATGTTTAAAATTAGTGTACAAAACTGTTCATTAAGATGTTATTTACAGCAGAGAAAAAAAACAAAAACAACCTAAATGCCCAACAATAAGGAATTAATTAAATAACCTGTGATACATGCAGATAATAAAATACTGTGTAGCCCTTCAACAATCATGTTTCAAAGGCAACTGATTGGGAAGTGTTTATGAAAAGGCAAGTTACAAAGTAATAAATATATATAGTATAAGCCTTATTTGTTTTCATTTAAATGTGCATTCATGCTTATATTCATTAAAGAGAGGTTGAAAAATATGTCAAAATGTTAAAAATTGTAAAGGTGATTGGATTAAGAATTATTTTCTTTGCACATGTCTGTTCTTTGTAAAAAAAATTACTTTGAACATGTATTGTTTTTGAATAAGAAAGTACTTTTGAGAAGATATGTATAGTTTTAAAAGTTTTCTTATAAAAGCATTCAGGATAAGAGCCCATTTTCCTGAGTATTACACCATATAGCTCTTCATATAGTATTTCATCATATAGCTCTATCTGTTCGGGTTCTGCTGCAACTAAACTCAAACTCTTCTATGCTGGCCACACTGCATTAACTGCAGTTCCCTGAACTAACCCTACTCTCTCTCCTCTATTCCTCCGCATTGCAGTGCCCCATGCCTGCAGAGGATAGCTGATGACAGATACATATCAACAGTAATAAGAGGGTCTCATTCTCTTGGCTCTGAAATACTGTGACAGCCTGGGAGGATGATTGCTGGGCCCCTTACTCAGTTCCAGTGGAGACCTGAGCAAGTGGGCTCAGCAGCTTGGCAGATGAGTTTGTTATTTCTATGAATTTAAAGGAAACTTGAAAACTGAGAAGATTCCCTAATCCAAGATATACTAGTAGATAACTACAGTCTTAAAATCTGCTTAAGGGCTAGAAAAGAGAGGAAGGAAGGAAGGAAGGAAGGAAGGAAGGGAGAGAGAGGGAGGGAGGGAGGGAGGGAGGGAGGAGTGGGAACTCAAGACATCTTGGACAGAGATGACAGCAGGGATCCAGGGGTAAGGCAGGAAAAGACCGCTATGAAACTTGCCCATTTAGCCTATTCCACTCTATTCGCTCTGTATTTTTAAACTCATGTTCTTCTTGTGGGTAGCAACTTACATTACTTTGTTTTTATTACATTCAATAAATGTTTATTTCGTAACTGTTATATGGAAATCATTATGATGGGCAGTTCATTCATTCAGCCCATAAATATACTATTCAATGGTTTCTATGTGCCAGGCTACAAGCTTGGTGCTAGTTATTGGAAATATGGAAACAATTAAAATATGTTACCTGCCCCCAAGTATTTCATGGTGCTGAGTGAATCAGAGTAATGTATGACTTACACCTCAGTACGCTAAGTGCAATAATAGATGTACTAGAAGGAACAATTGTGATGAAGATTGGGAGCAATTAACTAGAGTTTGAGAGAAAGTCTTACAAAGAAGGAGATATTTAAAATACAGTTTGAAAGTTGAGAGACCAGTCAACAAAGGGACAAAATGGAGGTAAGGATGGAAGTGTGGGCGTTTCATACAAGGAAGAGGGAATTATATGTACCTTATACAGTGTGCTCAGAAGTGTGAAACGGTAGAGCATAGTTAGGGATTGCAAGGAGTCTAAGGAAATACGCAAACACCAAGCATATGCTTATTTGTATTTCAGCCAAAAGACAGTGAACCTGGAAAAGCAGTCAGAGATGGCTGGACATGAACCTGAGGTCTCTGTGGAGCTACTGAAAGCCTGCTAGAAAGATAATGAATGGCAGAACAAAAGCTGTGTCATAACATGAGTGGTCATGAAATGGCTGCTCTACCCCAGGCACCTCAGTCCTTTTCAATCAGGTTACAAAACTTAGTATGCTCCTTTAGTGGGTTTTCTCATTCATTCCTTTATATCCAAGCAGTCATCAATCCATGTTAATTTTTCCTTCAAAAATAGCCTTTCTTGCCCGGCCAGTGTGGCTCAGTGGTTGAGCGTCAACCTATGAACCTGGAGGTCACGGTTCGGTTCCCAATCAGGGCACATGCCTGGGTTTCGGGCTCAGTCCCAGTAGGGGACATGCAGGAGGCAGCTGATCGATGGTTCTCTCTCATCATTGATGTTTCTGTATCTCTCTCCCTCTCCCTTCCTCTCTGAAATCAATAAAAATATTTTTTTAAATAGCCTTTCTTCTCTTATCAGGGTCAATACCTACACATTCTTGGATAACTGCAAAACCCTCCTGGTGAGTCTAGCTTATTTGTGTTTGCAAACCTAGACATACTTCCTGGTACATGGCAGGCAATCAATAAATAAGGTACATGCTCAACTGGGGGTGGGAGGAAAACATCACCAATTACCCCAAATTACAGGTAAAACAAACTGGAGTTATCTCTCATTAATTCCAGTATGGGGGCAGGTGCCTCACCAAAGGTTCTGAATAAGGTCCCAACAGGGACCTAATATTATTAATACTAGGGGCCCAGGGCACAAATTTGTGCACCTTGAAAGGAACTGTGGGCTGTGAGGCTGTGGTAGGCACAGGGGCAGGTCTCGGCCCATCCTCCATGCCCCCACCCGGCCCCTCCCTCTGCAGCCTCCAGTCCCCTGTCTGCCAGCAGCCCCTCTCCCACCACTGCTCCCATGCACTGCTGGTGCAGAGCTATTGGGGTTGGCACCAGCAGCGGGTGCGAGTGGGGCCGGCGCCATTAGCAGGTGTAAGCTGCGGCTGCTGCCCTGATTGCCCCTCAGGAGCAGGAGGAGGTGGAGAAGCCCCCAAGGGCAATCAGGGCTGGCAGCCACCCGCTGATGGTGCCAAGCGATTGGAACTGGCCTGGGCACCGGCAGCAGGTGCCAGTGGGGCCAGTGCTGGCAGCAGGTGCGAGTGCCGGGCGGGACCAAGGTGCACAGGAGCAAAGAATCTTCAGTAACCACCAGAGGCTCACCCTGATGACAGCAACAGGCCACCTGCTCCACTATCCTGCCATGGCTGACGCCCACCATGTCCCATACATGCTCCCTGGTGGTCAGTGCATGTCATAGTGACTGGTTGTTCGGTTGTTCTGGTTGTTCCACCGATCGGTCTATTTGCATATTAGCCTTTTATTATATAGGATTATTTGGGAATGAGAGAGGAGGTGAAGCAGAAGTGGAGCTTCCCAGTTAGCTTCCTAGTTTGGGGTCCTAGTAGATCCAAAAAGCTAAATTCTCCATGGACAGTTTCCCTCATTTTCCCCCTATCCCAGGAGGATAATCGGAGATAGCCTGAGAAAGAGAATGAGTCTGTTTCAAGTCCACAAACCAGTCATTGGCTGATTCCAGGCAATTTTCTTTCCCACTATCCCCAGGCTAACTTCCCTTAATACCAAGTTTATACTGTCCCTCATCCCCCTTAAACTCCCAATAGATCCCAACTCTAAGTCTAAATTGCACAGTTCATCTTTTAGAAAATTGAACCTGCCCTTCCTGTGCCTGTCGCTTATTTTCCAGGAACCTCTCTCTTCCGACTACACCCTGTAAACCTCCACTCTCCTCTCCACTAACCGTCACACTGATTTCCTTCAATCACACAAACAAGAGATGGGTATTAGCTGCTACACTCACATCTTACCCGCTAACTCCAAATGCTCTTCTCACTTCTGCGAACGGAGACCTTCCTTCTCTGTACTCTTCCAACACAGGCAATACCGCTCACTTTGTACTTAATTGTTTCAGTCAGTTTCCCCAGCACACACTCAGAATTAAAGCACACACCCAGTCTCCACTCGGAAAAAGGCCTTTCTCAAAAACAACAGAGGAGGCACCCTAACCCAGCCATTCCGGATATTCGGGTGATTTTTAATTTGTATTTGTTGAGGTCTAAGTCAGTATTGTGACTCTCAAGTATTCTTGAGTTGTTTGCTGTGTATGTTTTGTGGTTCATCTAGAAAGCAAAAGCAATGTAAAATAAATACTCAAGTAGATGTTTAAAAAGGAATACATGGGCCGGGCTGGCATGGCTCAGTGGTTGAGCCTTGACCTATGAACCAGGGGTTGTGGGCTCGTTCCCCAGTGGGAGGCAGCCGATCAATGATTCACTCTCATCATTGATGTTTCTGTCTCTCTCCTCATCTCCTTTCCTCTCTGAAATCAATATATATATATATGTATATATATATATATGGAATACGTGGGAGGTTAGGGAAAATTAACGTTTAAAAACCGCAGAACCTAATCTCCGTAAAGTGTTTACGACCTAGAAGCCTGGAAAACAGTAGAGTATGTTAGCTCCCAAAGCCAGAGGGCCCCAGACAGCCCCCAAGTTATTGAAAATAGACGCAGCGGAGGCCTTTCTCCATGGAGCTGGTCGAAGTGATGTGAGTAATAAGCCTCAGCCAAGTCCTACCTGTCAAGTTGTGCTCGACTCCACCCACCCCGAGAACGCGGCCCTGTGATTGGCCACGACGCATCCTAGCGCTGCCCAATCGCGTGCCAGCAGCCGCAGCGTCCTTTCACTCAGGAGAGAAACATGGCGGACCGGCTCACGCAGCTGCAGGACGCCGTGAACTCGGTGAGCAATTCCACTCGATTAGTCTCCGTTTTCCCCTTTTCTCGGTAAAGCGAGGGAGGAAAAGGGGCTCTAGAGGCGACACCCGGGAGTGGGAGGGCGGACCGAAACGGCTTCTGCAAAAAGCGGCCGGGCGCGGGGAGCTGGGGCCGGCTGCCCGCGGGGCGGAGGGCGGCGGAGGGCGCGGCGCGGCCTCCCCGCGGGGACGGGAGGTTCTCTGTATCCGGCCTCTCAGACCTCCGGGTCCTGTCCGGTTCTCCGGGAACAGCTGTTTTGTCAGGGATGCTGATAGGATCTCTTCCCGTTTGGGAGGCGGGGAGAAGTGGCGGCCGCGCTTCCCCGCTAATCAATTTTAACCCGCGGGGGAGAACCTGTGCTTTGGTGGTTGGATCAATGGCTGTTGGCCGAGTGTATCCTTTGCCAAAGCTTTCGTGTTGGCGCGGGAGTGATGGCGAGGTGAGAAGTTTTGTTTCCTCTCAGTTGGCACCTGTAAAGACCACGAATCTCGCCCCATGCCTTGGCCACTCCCCAGCATAAAACAGTTTTGGAGGAAAGTGACATCTCAATGGTAGTGAGTTTTCTAATCCTCGTATATTTCCATTCATTTAAGTCTTCTTTAGTATCTCCCCAAAAGCCTACCTCCTATTGAAGGGCGTATCTTATCTTGTAAGCAGCCCCCGTTCCCCCTACTTTCCTCCTCCTGATTGTTGTTCCTGTTATGCCCACGTGGAACATATCTGCAAACCATAGGATTCGTGTACTTATTACCATTAATAGTTAATAGTTTTCTATTGATAGTTATATTTCTCATTGTCATTCTGTTTATACTTTGATGTCCCGGGTAAGATGCCTTTGAAAAGAGAGAGAACATGCTGATTGGAAAACCTGAGTACCCGGCCCCTTGCCAGTGTTTTCACGCAGGCTGCTGCAAAGTTTTGTTGCATGTTTTTGAACACTTGAAGAGTGCATCTGCTTGTGAGAAAGTGATCTACCCCGTGTGTGTATAAAAGACGACCTTTCAAGGCCGAGGGGACCAGCCCCTAAATGTAGATGAATTCACCAAGATAAATTCTACCTAGTGGTGACTTTCCTGGGTTGCCAGACAACCTCCCTCAGGAAGATACTCCTTGGAGGTTTTACAAAACCCAGTCGGAGTGATGCTGTTGGATAGAAATGATATTTAGGGAAATGTTCCATATCCATACCTGTCTTGTAGCCAGAAGGAGAGTGAAAACAAAGTTAATATGGCCTTAACGCCAGGGTTGGCATGCTGGTTATTGGATTTTGGAGGGAAACCTCTAGGTTTACTAGTATTGAGTGCCTACAGTATATATAAGCTCATGTCATGTTTACAGAGAGATGCTTACAGAGTTTACAGTCTGATTAGAAAGATGTCATATACTCAAGAGATAGCCTATATAATAAAGAGGCAATATGCAAATTGACCATCACACCCTCTCACAAGATGGCCGCCCCCATGTGGTCACAAGATGGCTGGCAGGGGAGGGCAGTTGGGGGCGACTGGGCTGGCGGCAACCAGGCGGCAGGGTAGGTTAGTTGGGGGTGACTGGGCTGGCAGGGGAGGGCAGTTGGGGGCGACCAGGCCGGCAGGGGAGGGCAGTTGGGGGCGACCAGGGCAGTTAGGGGCAACCAGGCAGCAGGGTAGGGCCGTTGGGGGTGACCAGGCCAGCAGGGGAGGGCAGTTCGGGCAATCGGGCCGGCAGGGGAGCAATTAGGCGTCGATCAGGCTGGCAGGGGAGTGGTTAGGGCAGTGATGGCGAACCTATTGAGCTCGGCATGTCAGCATTTTGAAAAACCCTAACTTAACTCTGGTGCCGTGTCACATACAGAATTTTTTTGATATTTGCAACCATAGTAAAACAAAGACTTATATTTTTGATATTTATTTTATATATTTAAATGCCATTTAACAAAGAAAAATCAACCAAAAAAATGAGTTCACGTGTCACCTCTGACACGCGTGTCATAGGTTTGCCATCACTGGGTTAGGGGGTGATCAGGCAGGCAGGCAGGCAAGCGAATGGTTGGGAACCAGCAGTCCCGGATTGTGAGAAGGATGTCTGAATGCCGGTTTAGGCCCAATCCCATAGGCAGTCGAACATCCCCCGAGGGGTCCCAGATTGGAGAGGATGCAGGCTGGGCTGAGGAGGGACCCCCACCCCCTCAGTGCATGAATTTTGTGCACTGGGCCTCTAGTTTTAAATAATGTAAAAGCCGTATATGGTTAGGGAGGTATAATTGAATCAAGTGTTTTAGCTGTAAGTGCTGTAGTAAATTGGAATATAGAGTAAATTCCCTAAAATAGAGGGAATCTTCTTAGCATTTATCTGAATTACAATTATTTGTAAAATTATTAAAATATTTTTAATGAGTTTTATGTCTATATAATTTTATTAAAATGTTAACATTATTTCAAAAATTCATTCATAATCCCACCAAGATAACATTTGTTTTACACTCTAAGAACTCTGTAAGGGCAGAAACTGTCTAGTTCTCTGTATCTCTGTAATGTTTATACATATACAGTACATGTCAAAAAATTGATTTTTGATAATATTTGTTGAGTAAATATATCTTGAGAGCTTTTGAAGCACTGTGTTGAATATTTTTTGTGTTTTCTCTGTTCCTCATAACAATGCTGTAATGTGAGAATGTTCCCAAGTTACTAGAACCAGAATTAGAATCCATGTTTGTACAGTTTCTAAGCACTCACTGCTGCTCTGTTACATTTGTAAAATGTGAGCCAAAGCAGCATATTTAGGAATGAGCTTATCACTAGTCAGGTATATATGAAGGAGCAGTAGAAAATGATTAAGTAGAGTTGACTTGTATTATTGAAAGCTGTGAAACAGCCTGAAGAATTGGAGATTTATCTTGAAGCTCATGCTTGGTGAGCTCAAAATGCTTAAGCAGGGTAAAATAACATAGTGAACTAGAAAACAGTAAGGAGGCTATTATAACAATTCTTATGTGAGGTAATTGGTTGAACCAAGATAGCAGCAGCGATGATAGGAGAAAAGGGCAAAATTTGTAGTATTAGCAGGATTAGAGACAAAAGGAAAGTAAGAGCCTGAAGTTGTACTGGTTGACTAGGAGAATCTCAGTACAAATTAGATATTAAAGGAAACAATTGACATTGAGTTCTGTCATTCAAATAATGGCAGAGAAATTTAGTGGAAATGCTTATTCACAGATTGAAAATAAGGAATTGAGATTTGAGAGGTCAGGACTATTAATAGAAGTTGGTGGGGAGGCAGGGAGTTTGGAGCTGGTAAAGAATTAGTATTCTAGATCTTCAAAACTGCTTATGGAATAGTTTTAGAGCACCAGGAGTTTGAAAACTCGAGTCATGAAGAAAAACATTTCTAAATATTTAGGTACTATCTTTTTCCCACTATTTCTTTAGACTTGTAACTACGCTGATCTCAAAAAAAGGATCAATACTTGTACATGAGTTGCACATACTATTTTATTTACCTTGGAGCTATACTTAGATATTTGCCAGTCAAATTTGCTTTTTTCCACTCCTACCCAAAAAAAGTCGTTACTTGTGCTGGCAACAAGTATTGGCATGTATTTCTCTTATCATTTTATTACCTTGGGAAGAAAAGAAAAATTATTTTGTATTTCTTTTTAACTGTTTCAAGTAGATTGCTACCAAACATAATTTCTTTGAATGGTCAGAACATTTAATCGCTGTTAATAACTGGCTAATTTTATCCAAAATTACTTTTTTCTGTTTTATTCCCTTGCTCGGAGATCATTATTATAGAAACTTGTTGCATTACCAATAAAATCCTTTATAACTTTGACATGTTTCCTTTGGCTTCAAGCTTGCAGATCAGTTTTGTAATGCCATTGGAGTGTTGCAGCAGTGTGGTCCTCCTGCCTCTTTTAGTAATATTCAGACAGCAATTAACAAAGATCAGCCAGCGAATCCTACAGAAGGTAAGTCGTTTTCTTGGCTTCTCTTAGTTTGATTCTCATATTATTGTAATCTTTTAAAATTAGATTTATTGAGAAATGTGGCTTATTTGTAGCTTTCAAAAATATTGTTGTGTGAGAATATTGTAAGCTTTGTCATAAAGGAAATTAGTTTGTTATAATCAATTTGACATAACATGTCACAGTTCTGTTTATGTCAAATAACAGATTGTTATTCCTGTAGAGGAAAAATTGTAGGAATTGAACTGAATTTTACTTCTGGGATTTTTTTTTTTTTTTAGAAATCAACTTTATTTTTGTTTGTTTGTATTTTTGTTAATCCTCACCTGAGGAATTTAGAGAGAGTAGAAGGGAGGGGGAGAGACACATCAATTGGTTTGCTCCTACACGCACCCTAACCAGAGCCGGGATCGTGTTTGCAACCAAGGTACATGTCCTTGACTGGAATTGAACCCTGAACCCTTCAGTCTGGGGGGGCCAGTGCTCCAACCATTGAGCCAAACTGGCAAGGGCACTTCTGGGATCTTAATAAAGAAGGCATCCCACTTATAGATTTTTTTATTCAAGTGACCACTATATTGCCCTAAGAAGGGATCTATGTTATGGTTAATTCCCAATTTGAGTTAATATTAAAGGGTAATTCTTAAACATGTATTAGGTTTGATGTGTTAAAATTACACATTAATCATTAGAAGCCTAGTATAGAAAAGTTATATATTAAGTTTTCTGGTTTCATTAACTTAATGTTTAGTTTCTGTTTCTGAAAACTTAAGTTTCTCTAATACCCTAAATTAGTAGTGTCTTTTTCTAGAATATGCACAGCTTTTTGCTGCACTGATTGCACGAACAGCAAAAGACATTGATGTTTTGATAGATTCCTTGCCAAGTGAAGAATCTACAGCTGCTTTACAGGTAAAAATCTCTTTTCCTTTGAGTACTTTGCTAATAGGGAATTTGAATTAAAGGAGATAGATTTAATACTGTTTGTTGTAATATTTAAAGTTTAAGATTGAATTTTAAAGTGGGAGTTTCATTCACTGTGGATTAGTGTAGAATGTTAAAGACTGCACTGAATAGCCTATGTAATAAAAGCCCAATATGCAAATTGACCGAATGGGAGAACGACTGGTCGCTATGATGCGCACTGACCACCAGGGGGAAGATGCTCAACGCAGGAGCAGCCCCCAGCCCTCAGGCCCCAGGCCAGCCAAGGTGGGTGCCAACAGGGACTCCCTGGTCACCCCGCAGAGGGAGGCAACCAGCGGCAAGTGGCAGGGCCGGCAAGCAGGTGGTGCTAGGCTGGCCAAGGTGGTGCCAGCGGGGGCCCCCACAATCGCCCCACTGGTTGCCCCACAGATCAGCCCTGATCACTGGCCAGGCCTAGGGACCCTACCCGTGCACGAATATCGTGCACTGGGCCTCTGGTGTATATATAGTTTTCCAATTTTGAGTTATAAGGACTCTTCCTATTTTTCTCAGTTTGGCTCTTTACCTAGCAAAGAATGAGAGGAGGATGGCATTCTGGATGTGGAGTAGAATAGTAGTGTCCAAAAGCAGTGTGGAAGGAGTCATATATAGACATCCAGAGATCTCTAATTAAAATTTATTGTTTTAAATAATTCACACAAGGGCAACTTTTTTTTTTTTCATAAATATGAAGATTAATGCATTAGTATAAATCAAACACTGGTATAATTCCAACAACCCATAAGCATCCTAACAAACCACTTCCCTAAGACAATTTTTTCTTGCATTTCTTTGTGGTTTTACCACTGAAGTATGCATGTATACACACTAAGATTTACTTTGCCTGTTTATGGGTACTATATAAAATGAAATCACATTTTATTGATTTCAGAGAGGAAGGGAGAGGGAGAGAGAGATAGAAACATCAATGATGAGAGAGAATCATTGATTGGCTGCTTCCTGCTCCCCCCTCCCCCTCCACTGGAAATCGAGCCTGCAACCCAGGCATGTGCCTTTGACCAGAATTGAACCTGGGACCTCTCAGGCTGATGCTCTATCCACTGAGCCAAACCGGCTAGGGCAGGGAAACTTTTAATAGTTCCCTGATTTTAGAATTTTTGCCACTGAAAGCTCCCTCACGATGCCTGCATAGTCATTCAGATTTAAAAGTAAATACTTGCCCAGTTTCTTTCTTTCTCAGCTCTTATTAATCTCCAAATTTTTCATTTCTCAAAAGATTTTTAAATTTGTGTCTTATAAAGGCTGCAAGCTTGTATAAGCTAGAAGAAGAAAACCATGAGGCTGCTACATGTCTGGAGGATGTTGTTTATCGAGGGGACATGCTTCTAGAAAAGATACAAAGTGCACTTGCTGACATTGCGCAGTCACAGCTGAAGACAAGAAGTACCCACAGCCAGTCTCTTCCAGACTCATAGTGCCCATACATAGCATGTGGCTGAGGAAAGAACTGTTTCAATGCCATGAAGAAAGAACTGTTTCAATGCCATGAAGAATTCTGTATCAGATTTAGATGTAAGCCTTGCCAACAGTTACAGAAACATTAAGCACTATAACATGTTATCTTTTTCACTATTTTTAATAGCCTTCTATTTTCACTCTTGATAAATTAGCTTGTAAAATTGTGATTGAATCAGCTTTAAACCATCATTATATCATTTTTTATTATCTGAATGAAATTGAGGCAGCTATTGCATTAATGATTATAATTTAATTAAACAACTGTACTATAAAATTCTGTTTTGACATAATGTCTATCTTTATTTTTATCATTCTACAGTCTTTTTACAAATAAAAACATCCCTCAAGCCAGAGGAGAGGTGGTAAGTGCAGAACACGGGACATTTCAATTTAGGTTGGTGTCCTTCTGCCCCTTTAGAGGTCACATTGTAGAAATTTGGAGCTTGGGCTAGGAACGTTTGAAACCCTGTAGCTTTTAAGAAACACAGAATTAGTGTGGCTGAACAAGAGATTAGGTCACTTTTATGGAAACTTTCCTCTTTTTCCACAACCTCATACCCACTCTAGTAGATCGCACTTGTTTCTCTATGGAATTCCCATGCTATTGTGAAAATTTTTCTTCATTTTGAACTACTTTTTTCCTATAACTTTTCAACTTTTCATTCTTCCTCTTAATTTCAGCAGTGAAGTATGTTTCCTGAGTCATCGATTAATTTCTGTTCTTTTTATTTATCTGAAGGTTCTGTCTTCTGGTCTTGGTAAATTCTCAACCTTTATTGCTACATTGTAATCTAACCAGAACATACTTCCACTCCATCAGTTACTTCAATATGACTTTCTCTATTGCACTTTAGTTTGTTATTGCTAACATTTGTGTCAGCATTATCAAGTATGATTACTCATCCAGCTCTTGGATATCCTTGAATCTACTGATTCTCTCCATGGAAAGCTGGAGATAAAATTTAATTGCTTCTGTCTCCCAAGGCTGCATTTTTTAGGATGTCCTGAGCTACATTTCCTGTAATTCGTTACTTATCCAGAGTTTAAGGACGAGCAAGAATAGTCAGAGATTCTCTGTTATTCCCATCATAATCAAGCTCTGCCACAGTTCTTGAAAAATACTGCTTAGAGGAACTTTTAACTTCTTTAATGTAATTTATAGAATCATTAACTTTTAAAATTATGTTAAATGTTATCTATACTAATAGATATTTAAAATGTATGGCTTCTCTCTGACATCACTTAAAATGCATTTTATTTTTAAACACTGGCATGAGGTTTCTAGATGATAAAGAACCACAAAAGAAAGTAATCTTCAAAATACCGAACCCTATTCAATACAATTAGCCCCAAGAGACAGTAGGAAAAGTTGTAGCCTAAAGCTGGTAGGTTGACTACTGTTAAAATATTACCCCTACCTGAAAGAAACTTTATCTTTGATATTGTCCCCCCAGTTTCAGGTATTAAAGAACGAAACCCATAAAGGTTATATACAACAGCTTCTTGTGTCCATAGTTTTGTAGACATGTTTATTGGATCAGGAGATTCTCAAAGCTAAAATAGATGCATAGGCAATGATGATCTTGCTGCCTAGGAAACAGCTTTGGGAAGACCAAAAACTGAATGTTCTTATCTTTCATCCCCTGGTATATCTCTCCCTTCCCTTTTACCCAGATCTAAATTGTTTTAAGAATTGGTAGACAGGCTGGGTAGCTCAGTTGGTTGGAATGTTGTCCCATACACCAAAAGTTTGGGGGTTTGATTCCCAGTCAGGGCACATACCTCAGTTGTGGGTTCGATCCCCAGTTGGGGTGTGTATGGGAGTCAACCGATAGATGTTTCTCTCTCATATTAATGTTTCTCTCCCTCTCCTTTTCTCTAAAATCAGTAGAAAAGCCTGGACAGTGTGGCTCAGTGGTTGAGTGTTGACCTATACACCAGGAGGTCACAGGTTTGATTTCTAATCAGGGCACGTGCCTGGGGTTTGTGGCTTGATCCCCAGTGGGGGGTGTGCAGGAGGTAGTCAGTCAATGTTGATGTTCCTTTCTCATCAATGTATCTATCTCTATCAATAAAAACATATTTAGCCCCAGCCGGTCTGACTCAGTGGATAGAGCGTTGGCCTGCGGACTGAAGAGTCCCAGGTTTGATTCCCGTCAGGGGCAAGTGTCCAGGTTGTGGGCTCGATTCCCAGTGGCGTTTCCCTCTCCCTCTCCCTTCCTCTCTGAAATCAATAAAAATATATTTTAAAAAAAACATTTAAAAATAAATAAAATCAGTAGGAAATATCCTCTGGTGAGGATTAAAAAAAAAGAATTAATAGACATTTGGTCTTGCCCAAAAGATCCACAGAGACATTTGACCCAGGCCAACAGTCCCTTGATGTTTGGTATCATTCAGAACATCCATGAGCATATTTGGTCTGTGCGGAATGATCCTTGATATTTGGGCCTGTCCAAAACATCCATGCTTAGAAAAGTACCCTGGGTTTAAATAGCCCATCAGTTATTTGTACTTTTGGCTTACAGGATTAATATATTAAAAATACCATTGATCCAATATTGTGTGGTGTCTGCTTTGCCAATAATAGCTTTTCTTGCTTCAGAAGCTAGTAATGGCACATGGCATTAGGTAGATGGATTGGCGTGGACCAAATATCGCCATGGACAGTTTGGACACGACCATATGTCAAAGAACTTTGGGCATAGACCAGATGTCTGTGGACCTTTGGACAGGACCAAATGTTCTGCAAGGGTTTGAAGGAGGGAAATCTTAGAGGTGTGGCCATCATCTGTCTTCCCAAAGGACCACAGACCCTGTGCCCTGTTGGAACTTCGTGGAGCCCTCAGGGAAACCAGGGGTGCAAAGCTTTACGGCTTTGTTGGATGTAGGTACCTAAGTTACTATTATACTTGGTCCAATGGGGACAAGGGGCACCTGAGTTCAACTTGAGATCTGGGCAAAGTGACGAGGGAGGGAGGGAGATAAATATAACATTTTGGCCAGGCCCTTGAGGCTTTTCTGATGCACTGTGGCCATGACTTCTACTGTGACTATATTACTGGGATAGACATCCTATACAATTGTAATTCTCCCCCACACAAATGACAGCGAGGACATTCCCACTCAGGACGTAATGTTGAGAGGTAGTAGTGTGACGTAAAACAATCCCCTACCCATCTCCTTGTCCATTGCCTATGGGGTGCCTGGCCACTGACAACTTACTTGAACCCTGTGTTCCTGGAAAACTAAGACAGTTAAACCCTCCAACCTACTGTATGGCAAACAACTACTTTTCCCTCTGTGACTGAAATATCTGTGCATTACCCCTTTGTTTATAGACCCAGGCCCTCCAATTCCCACTCTTGGTCTCATAAATAATTTATCTGTCCCACAGACCAGTTTGGATAAAATGTCCTCTAACTTGACCAAACTTTAGGCTTCTTCCCCATAGACCCTTGTACTGGAATGTGGAATAGTTCCCCCTTAATGACCCCTCCTGAAAATTGACCACAAATAAAAAGACATTCCCTGATCAGTTGTCCCATTAGGTCATCTGCTCATCTTCACACCCAGATTTTTCTAGCCTTGTTTACTTCTTCCTATTTAAAAATATCCCACCCTGGCTGGTATGGTTCCACTGGTGAGAGCGTTGTCTTGTGCACCAAAGGGTCACAGGTTGGTTCCCAGTTGGGGAGCTTATGGGAGACAACCCACTGATGTTTCTCTCTCTTGGTAATATTCTCCCTCTCCCTCCCTCTCTCTCTGGAATTAATGAAAAACATATCCTTGGGTAAGGATTTTAAAAAAGTCTCTTTCCACCTCATCTTTGAAATTTGAGATGCTTGCAAATCTTATGATCAGAGCACTCTTTCTATTGCTATATTCTTTCTGCCCCTGTTTCAATAGTCCTTTCTCCCTATTGCAGTAGTTTCTCTAATAGTCTTCTCATACCTACATCTGGATTTGCTTTCACTTGACACTTTCCTCACTTGTATAGGAAAAAAATCCCATGACACATCACATAGCCACAGGGCTAAGGCTGGACCAAAGAGGGCAGAGGAATTTACTTGAAGTAATAGGAAATCGATCTCTGATTCAGAACATCTTGTGTGCACATCCAGGATAAAATTAATAAAGGTGAATATTACAAACCCAACACTTTAGAAACAATTCAGGGATCAAAGGGAAATCATAATGGGTATAATTCGGAACTTAATGAAAACAAACTATATAGAAACTTCTGGCATTGCGCTAACACAGCATAGCAGACAATGCAAGTATTTTCTTGTTTATATTAGAAAAAATGAAGCTGAAAATTTAAAGTTTCAACTGAAAGAAAGAAGGAAGGAAGGAAATAATAAAGCTAACAGAAGAAATTAAGAAGAAAACCTTACTGTGAGAGAATTAGGAAAGCCCGAAGTTGGGGATTCAAAATGAGTTATAAAATTGACCACTTAGACAAGCTTGATCAAGCATAAAAGAAAGATGGCATAAATAAACAATATGAAGAATTAAAATGTCATATGCATTGATTTTAAAATAAACTTCTTGCCAATATTTGAAAATTTTGGTCAAAAGGATATAGGTATTTCTAGAAAGAGCAAATAGGATCAAGAATATATGTAAATCATGATCCTTCTTTCACCTTTAAGGAAATTCAATCAATAGTGAAAATTCTCCCCAAATAAAGTGCCAAACCTAGATCAGTTTAGTAGTTTTACTAAACTTTCAGAAAAAATTCCAATTTTACACAAAATAGATAAAACTCATTATCAAATCTGACAGTACAAAAATAAAGATGACAATTTCACTCATGAACATGCAAAAATTATTAGCAAGTTATAGCCATTTTATGGAAAGAAGAGTCAATATTTTAAATGTCAATTTTCCTCAATAGGTTCATAGATTTAACATTTTAACTAAGTTTCCAAATAGAATTTCTTTTTAAAAATATATATATTTTATTGATTTTTTACAGAAAGGAAGGGAGAGGGATAGAGAGTTAGAAACATCGATGAGAAACATCAATCAGCTGCCTCCTGCACACCCCCTACTGGGCATGTGCCCGCAACCAAGGTACATGCCCTTGACCGGAATCCAACCTGGGACCCTTGAGTCTGCAGGCTGACGCTCTACCCACTGAGCCAAACCGGTTAGGGCCCAAATGGGATTTCTATGGAAATTGGCAAGTTATTTCTAAAATTTATACAGAAGTACTAAGTTTCAATAGAAGCCAAGATACTTCTGAGGAAAGATAGAATGATAGAGCTTGCCTTTAATAGTAATT